ATACTTAATTTTTTTTCTTCCTTCCTTCTTTGTTTCTTTCTCTTTCTTAAAAATTCATGTATTAGTAATTAATTGAGCCCTGAGAAGTGCCTAGCATTGTTCTAGACATTGGAGAGAAATGCACAAACAAATAAACACATTAATTACCCTCAAGAAACACACAATCTATTGAGGAGACATACACTAATTGCTAGACATCATGACGAAGGCGAGAATAGAGGTCTCTCTAATTCTCTGGCAAGTTTGCACAGATGAAGAGGCTAACAACCCTGGGAGGAGAGTCAGAAAATACGTCACCAGGGAGGTGACATGCAGGTGAAAAAGTGAAGCATGAGAAGGAGTGGAAGGTTAGAAAGGGGTGAAGGGTTTTCAGGCAGAGGGGTGAACAGGTGGGAAGTATGCAAGACTACATAGAAGTCAATAGCACATGCCTGTGAGTGGTAGACCCGGGTATGGCAGGAGATTTTTCCTGGGATGAAGATGTTAAAAGGGTCTTATCAGCCATGCCTTTTTAAATCTGAGCTTTGTGTCTATGTCCAGTAGACATTCACGACATATTTAAAAGATTATAACCCTGCATGAGAGCTGACAATGGACTAGATGAGGGAGGAGTGGAGGTGCTTCTCACAGTGCTCCAGAAGAGAGACAGAGATGGATTTAACACAGCCTTAGGATAAGGAAGAGACACTTTACAATGAAAGAGGAGAAATGAATCATGAAGTAAATACTGAGTTCTGGGTACTCATTACTCATCCAAGGGACGATGCCCAATGGGGAAGCAGAGATCTTTGTTTGCAGCTCCAAAGAAGGGTGAAATCTGAGGATATGGATACAGGAATTATCTGGGAACAGTGGATGAGAGATCAGGAAAGGTCCTGAGTGGACAGAGCCCGACACTGAGGTTAACCTACATTGAGGGTGCCCATTTGGTGTTAGGTAAATTCTATTTCCTCAGTCAGGGAGCCATGGAACCCTAAGGATGTTTGAAGAAGTCTGAAGAGCTCTAAAACTTAAGTCAAACTTGGCTTAAATGTAGTTTCTTGCTTTTAGCAGATTTCCAAGGAATTTGGGACCAAAAAAGGGTTAAGATACACTGTATTTCAATGAATCCTTCTTATATCATACGATCTTAGAATCTGAACTGAATCAGAGGTTAGGCATGGTAGCAAAATGCCTACAACCCCAGCTATTTGAGAGGCAGAGATCAGGAGATCAAGGTTCAAGGTCAGCCCAGGCCAAAACGTAAGACCCTATTTGAAAAATAACAAGAGCAAAAAGGGCTGAGGACTTGGCTTAAATGGTAGAGCACCTGCCTAACAAGTTCAAGTCCTTGAGTTCAAACCCCAAATAGAATTTGAACTGAATCAGTTCAAGCTTGGAAATTGGCTTCATGTAATGATTAGGGTCTATTTGATAACTTTGGGGAAAAGAGTCCAGGTGCCACCAGTGTTGAGAGAGGAGGGAGGTTTGTTAGAAACATTTCTATTTCTACTTTGTTCAGATCAAATTCCCACAGAAGCACTCTTCATATCAAATATGTGTTTTATCCTACACATATTTTGTATATGTGTATATGGTTAAAAAAATGATTGTCCTTGTCATTCTGAATGAGACATATATTCCAGGAATTCCGAAAAGTGACCATCCCATGACTATCTACTGCCTCTGGTTCTGTTTGTATTTGAAAAGTTGATCCAAGTTTCTTAACTTAACCACTATAGTACACAGTTCAGCCTTTTTTCCCTATGGCCCATTCATGTGAAAGAGCTTTCGCCAAAGATTATATTCTTAATAGACTCTGAATACGGCATAAAATTGCCAATTCTGTACATCAAAAGACACTATCAAGAAATGAAAGATAAGCCATGGAATGGAAGAAAATATTTGCAAATGACATATCTGATAAGGGCCCAGTATGCCAAATACATAAAGAACTCTTGTAATGCAACCATAAAAAAGACAAATAAGCCAGTTAAAATGTGAAAAGGGTCTAAATGGACAGTTCTCAGAAGAATCTATACAAATAAGCATCTTTTCACATGTACATGAAGACATGTAGAGTGTCTTTAGCGATCAGGGCTGGACAAACGAAAACCACAGCGAGATTCCGTTTTACGCTCATAAGAAGACGCAGCCCTTAAAAAAAAAGAAAAGAAGAACAAATATTGGCGAGGAATTAGAGATATCAGTACCTCCATACGTTACTGGTGTGAATGTAAAATGTTATCTCCACCGTGAAAAATGGTTTGACAGTTCCTCAAAAAGTTAAAGGTACAATTACCATATGATCGAGAAATTCTCTTAGTTGTATTCCCAAGAGAATTAAAAGCATATGTTCTATAAAACAACTTGTGCATAAATATTCACAGAAGCATTTGTTATAATTACCCAAGTGTCTGTTGACTAAAATAATGGATAAGCAAAATGCAATACATCCATACAATGGAATATTATTCAGCCATAAAAAGGAACAAAGTATTGTTAGAGACAAACCTTGAAAACATTATGCTAAGTGGAAAAAAGTCACATATTGTAGGATTCGATTTACATGAAATTTCTAGAATGGACAGAGTTAAAGGCAACGGGGCAGAAACAAGAATTAGGAAGTATGGAGTAATTTGAAGGGGTGATGACAGTGTTCTGGCATCAGTGGTGAAGATGGCTGCACAACACTGAAGTGACTAAAAGTCGCTGAATTGTACACTTGAAAGTGGTTAAATGGTGAGTTGTATGCTATATGAATTTTAACTCAACCTTAATAAAAAATGCAAAACAAAATGGTCGATTGTGATGGAAAATAGCATAATCCTAGAATTCATTAGCATTTTTCTAGCTCCCCTTGTCTTTGAAAAAGTCAAATATGTTCACATTTGTTAAGAATTCCTCATGACTTTCATATCAATCATATTTATTCTAAGCCAATTAAAAACTCAGGCAGAAGAAGACCTCAGGGAAGAACTGAAGGCGTAAAGACAACTTTCACCTGCATTTGCTTTGCAACCACATAGGCTTTGGAGCAACAAAACAACAAGCTGCTCTAGACACCGCTCTCACATTGGGTAGAAGCTCTTCAAATTTAAAACGCTCTGGGAGTGAAGGGAGAGAAAACGGTAGAAAAGAACTCAGGCTGCCCCCTTCCTTCCCCTGCCTGGCTTCCCTTCCAGAAATGAAGGTAAAACTTTGCTCATTTGGGTACTTTGGGGTGTTTTGAAATTTCACTCCTTCTTTGAACTGAAATCATTTCGCTTTGTACTTGGAGATATCAAGTGTGGGGAATTTGCAGTGTGCAGGACACTCCTGCTTGAGTCCCAAGAAAGCCGATTGTGTTTCTGTCTTCATCTCAAACAGCAGAGCAGGACTTCATGAAAAACAGTGCAGGGCCTCAACTTTTTAAAGGGAGTTTGATAATATTATTTATTATAACTACAACAAAGTCACAACTAGATTGCTTGATAATCACAATGTGGTGAAAAGAATAATAAAAGATTTTTTCAGAGTGACTCTTACTCGTCTTGTATATGCTCATTTCACCCTATGAATTCAATTTTTTTCTCTTTTCCTGTGGTGCTAGGGATGCAACCCAGGGCCTCTGTGTGCTCGACAAGCCTCTGCCACTGAGCCACATCCGCCTCCTTGCTAACTCTTGAGCAGCTCCACTCCTAAGCGCCTCTTGGACTGTGACCACACCGTAGAAACTCTCTCAGGGACAGGCAGGACCCGACACGTGTAATTTGTGGAGTCCAGTGTGAAATGCATGTGCGCTACTCCTCGCCCAAAAATTATTAAGAATTTCAAGGCCAGATGTCAGTGCTCACACCTGGAATCCTAGCTACTCGGGAGGCTGAGATCTGGAGGATCGTGGTTCAAGGCCAGCCTGGGCAAATAGCTCTCAATACCCCATCTCTAAAATAAGCAGAGCAAAACAGACTGGAGGTGTGGTTGAAGTGGTAGAGCACCTGCTTTGCAAGAATGAAGCCCTGAGTTCAAACCCCAGTTGCGCCGAAAGAAAAAGAACAGAAGAATTTCAAGAAGGCCACGGCAAAACAAACACAACACGTCACAGCCCACCAGTGATCCAGTGGAGAAAGTGTAGTGATGGATCTGCCACCACCTTCTTTCCGGGAGCAGGGGTACGGTTTTGAAAGCCTAGGCTTTCAGAACCTCGCTTCACGCACCCACACCATGACAAGCCATCCTCATCTCTTGCCCTGCTGTGATGGGTGCTCAATGTCTCTGGCCTGAGAATACCATTGTATAACATGCTTTTCTACAGACAAAGGGGTCCCAGGTACCCATCATGGAACAGGGAGGCAAGAAAGCCATTTGGTGAATTAAATGGGGGGGTCTTCCAGAATGTCAGCAGGAGGTCCAAGCTGGGCTGCACCCTCTCTCATCTCCAGCCCGACACGCTTTGCCTTGCTCTGGGTTTTTATTAGCTCATCTCTTTAGTACATCAGTGGAAAGGGGAATGAAACCGGTGGCAGATTTAACTGCTGGGCAGCTGGGTCACTGTCCCGTGGGTCTTGTTGTCATGCTGCGGTCTTAAAGTGACCATGGCTGCTTGGGCTGCTGCCTTCCAATGGGCTCAGAGAGAGACCACTGAATAGTTAACGGAAGGAAGAGGAAGACAGGGGCTGTTGCTTGCAGAAAACACAGAGAAGCGGCTTTGAAAAATCCCAAGGTGGCTGAATATCAAGAACACAGTTCGTGCTGTGGGCAGCTGTGTGTGCAAGGGGCAGCCTGAGGGCTTAAAATCAAATCGCCAGCATGGGTTGGTGCCTCTCCCGTGGGGCTTTGCCAATGAAGGCAGGAAACCTAAACACTACAAAACGAAGAGCTCTTCCATCGTGCAGAGGAGGTTATCATCGACAGTTATCTTTTGTATTTCTAGCAGTATCAGTGGGTGATGGTTTTTTGAGGGGTGGGGAAGAGTGAGCAAGAGAGAGAAAACAGGATGACTTATTTAGCAGGCGAGATGTGAGATGTACATGGCCCCTTACCTGAAACCGTCTCATGTCCCTAGGGTTTCCTGCTGTTTTCAAACAATTCTGATTGCACTTGAGGAAAAATTTTAAAAAGAATCTGTGGAGAGAAAGCAATGTGTTACATTTTTTCAGTGAACATTTTTTTAAGGGAGACTCTATCTGCATTGATTTGAAAAGCGATTGCATTTCAGGTCTGGGGAATTTCAACCAGCCCTGCCCCGGGGAAGGAACATTGCTGACCCTTTGCAATTTGCAAATTTGGATGTTTTCAATCGAAAAGCCCAGAGCCCCTTCATCTCATCATGGTGGGGGAAGTTAGAAGTTCGCCGGCTGGGCTCCAGCCTGGAGTTTCTACAGCACTCGCTCTGCAAAAAAAAAAAAACAAAAAAAAAAAGGCTTCCAAGACAGCAGGGACCCCTGCTGTACAGAAAGTCCTGCTCTGGGGTTAAAAATGGCAGGACTTGGCCCAGAATCCCAGGGCTCCTCTGGCATGTGGCTGGCCGCTGGCCACACACACCTTCACTCACACCTAAAGGTGTCCTGACTCTTTCAGCCAATGTCTCCCAAGTCAGAACATGGTATGTCAGCATCCAAAGATGAAGTCTGCAGGGCAGGTGTACACTGGGATATTTATATCAGTAACAAATGTGAATTTCTTTTTAGACCATGTAGACATTATCCAGAGAAAACACAAAGGCACACAAATCGTGGTCCAAGGTTATCGCTCATAAGACGTATTTTTGAAGCCCATAGTCTCCCTTAAATGACATGTGCAATTTTAAGTCAGACATCTTGAATCAGACAAGCCAAGGAAAATGGCCAAGCTGTCTTTGCAGTGTTTCACCTAGTTCCTATTGGAAATTTTGTTTCGAAATACAATAAGTTTTTCATTTATTTCACTTGCAGAGTCCTTTTCCTTAAAGAAAAAAAAACCCCAGCCTTTGCAGTGTTAAAGTCCCAGGTGAGCTAGGCCTATTTCCCTTTCTGTTACTATGACAACGAAATTTTACCGCAGTCCCAAAGTCCCTTCAGAACTCGCACATCCATGCCTTGAATTAGAACTTTAAAGGAAAAGATATACATTTTCTCCAGGATTTACCAACAAAAATAAATAGCAACCCGCAATGCTTCCAAAAATTCTATTTTCAAATACCAGGCGGTGAAATGTTCTTATCATGGTGTTTGCTTGTTTTTATTTATTTATTTATTTATTTAACAATCACACAAAAGAATCAAGAGCGCTCCAATTAACTGTATGTATCACTTAAAGAAAAACCCTGATGAGAAGATAAACATTGAGCAGAATCATACATTTTCTTTCTGCAAGGGAAACAGTCTTATATTAACACTGTTACCAGAGTCAGCTTCAGTCACTTCTGATGTTCAGAGATGCTCTGAGGACACGAAAACTTGCCTTTTCTCTCTGAGCTCGCTCCAAACAACAGCCCCACTACACACCACGTTTGCCCTCTACCACCTCCAGCAGCAATTACCTCTTTCCCTACCAAAACCAGCTACTCCCTGATTTCTGGGAAGTTTTGCTACAAGTCGACTCCTTACATGCATTCTGTGTGCGAGAACCCTACCACCCCCCTACCCCTGCTTCAAAATGTATCTGGTGGAACATTAGTGTTCACCAAGGCAATTATTCTGTGAGTGGTGCGGTAGGTGGAAAGGGCAAAGAGATAACTGTTTACATAAAATCAAGTCGACTCAGGGAAGCATGGAGCCTGGTGAAAGACTTTATTAATTTTAAATTAGGACCCTTAACAGTTATTTGGGTACAAAAACACCCAGTTGACTCCTTCACTTGTTTGGGGACTGAATTATGACCTACACACTAGGATTTGGCTTACAAAGGGGAAAGGGGTAGGGAAGAGGTGTGGAAGAGATCTCCTACATTATATAATAATATATACAACTGCTATTTCTAAATGAATTTTTAATATGTGGCTCAAAAATTAATTAAAAGAAATTTGGAGCTTACTGATACCTCTGACTTCTCCCGGCCTCTTCCACTGTCCCTCACCTTCACTTTCCCTATCCACTGTGCAGGTCTTGGTACAAACACCTCTACTACCCATACCATTCTACTAGCCACAGGATAACTTGTAAGGAACAAATTCTCTCAGAATCCTTGGGTCTAGATCCGTCGAGCCAGAGCTGCCTGGAAAATGTCAGCTCTCTCCTCAGAAACGGAAAACCAAAAGGAATTGCAAGATTCAGACCAAATGTGCAGCTTCTCGTCAGGATGGGATTATTTCCACTTTCTGCAAACAACAGTGAAACGTAAAATCAAAAGCACTTAGCAGCTGCAATGTGCAGAGCTCCTACTGCATTCCTTAAGAGATCTAAACAATGGGAGGTTTCTCCTTTTTATGGAGAAGAGGAATGGAGAGGGAGGGTCAAAATGTGAACCCCAAACCCGCACATTTCAGTAGGGTCTGTAGGTCACTGAGGCCAAGTGCATTCCTTCATTCCACAAATATGCATTCAAGGGTGCCAGTCTTGATTTGCCACCAACTAACATCGTAACCAAGTTCTATCGTGTAGCCAAGGCTCACAACTGCGGGCCTCACTTTCTCAGGTGTTAAAAGAAGGGTTTAACTAGACTTCCTTCCAACATCAATTTGCTATGCTGCAGAATTGAGAGCCTTCCAAAAAGGGCTGCATTGGTTAAGAACAGTGCAGGAAAAGGACCACGACTCCTAAAGCCACATGGGAATGTATGTGGTGGGGAGGCGGGGTTCTGAGAGACAGGGCAAACTCACAGAGCGAAACTGTGAAAGAAACATAAGAGGGGAGTGGTGCTGATTGGTGGCAAATGGGCATCTGGGGTGACATCTTGGCCAGAGATGGGAGGGCCCTGAAATCAAGATCCTTACTGTGTGTCTGAGGCAGAGATTGGACATGAAGAAGATATAGTGCAGAGCTTTCTGTCCTTTCACATTGGGGTGCTCAACAGCTGAAGGCTGCAAGGGCACAGAGGGTAGGAAAGATGAGTACTTCATTTCTAGAACAGTCCCCTAATCCTCAGAGGATATGTTCCAAGAATTCTAGTCTGAAATCATGTACAGAACCAACCTTTACATATACAGTGGTTTTCCTAAACTTCCATACCTATGATAACTTTACTTTAGAAATCAGGCACAGGAAGAGATTAACAATATTTATTAATAAAAGGGAACAATTATTACAAAAAAAGTTATTCAAAACTTATAAATTATTATTTCAGGAATTTTCTATTTAATATTATCAGGCTGAAGTTGATTATGGGTAATTGAAACCTGGGGAAGTAAGACCACAGATAAGGAGGACCCCGTCCTCTGGCTTGGTATAGGAGCCTCATGAAATTCTCACAACAACCCTGTGAGTGGCAAGTCATCCTATAGCTGGAAAACACGAAGGCCTCAAGAATTAAGAAATTTGCCAGTGATCACATAGTGGACACAGGATGGGAACCTGGGCCTTTCTGGCAACCTGCCTCACTGGTGTTCTCTACGTCCTGTACCAATGACACTGTGAAGATGGCCGCACAACCCTAACAACTACTTAAAACTGATGAAATGCACACTTTGAATGGATGGATTTGGTATTAAATTATATCAATAAAGCCACTAAATTCCCCCTCCAAAAAAAATATAGTCCTAAAAAAACCAAAAAAAGTGTAGAAAAAACAAATCAGGAGGAAAAAACATGAAGGACTCTGGCTTCTTAGAAAACAAGGGCATCCAAGAGCAAAAATGGTCACAAAGGAGAACAAGCTTGATTTCGAACTGCTGAATTCACTGATTTACTCATTGGATCAACATGTAGTGTGTTCTGTGTGCCATGAAGGTTCATGCACAGTGACAACAGTGTCTTGACTTTGGGGAGTATACAACCAAACTATTCAAAATAGGCCTTTCTAGTATCTGATTCTGAAAACACCTGGAAAAGGTCTCCTCTCCTTCCCTTCCCAATCTCTGCAATGTCAGAATACTCTGCACTGTTTAAGAAGACACTGAGACTCCTAGATGGCTTAGCATGTCCAGCTTCCACTTTGCATGGACTGAGTCTCAAGCCAGATGTGCAATTTAGATATAGAGTTAAGTCCAGTGGTGGGGGCAGGGAATGCTGAAATCATAGGAGCGATGATTACTTACTACTCTTGCCAGACTCTGGAATTATGAGCAATGGTCTGATTATCACAAAACCAGCACCATATTTCTCAGGATTTATGGAAGAGACCTTTCCATTTGCCTCCAATTTTAAATCCAAGACCTAATCTCTTCTTAAAATTTTTAATACAAAAAAACTTAGGCAAACACTGTACAAGGTACCAAAGTTTATTTCTAGAAAAAGATTAGACAGGGATGCATATTGAAGGACATGAACTGAGCACCAGCAACCGCTACCATTACACAGAGCCTTACTTCGTGTAAAATAATCTGCAAACTACCTTTCACTTTGAAACTTGGCTCCTTATCCCCTTAAAGCAAAAATCATATTTTTCCTATCCTAGAAAAACACTTCTTCAACCACACAGTTACATTTTGTACACAGCAGAGACAAGAACACCTCATACTTTCCAAGGGCCCACAGCACAAGGATGCTCTGTCTGGTGCTCTTTATCTGCCATGTGACTACATGATAGTCACATAAGCAGGTTGGATCTCTAAAGGCTGAGCCAAATATCTAGTTGCTATTGCCTCACAAATCATGTAGGTACTTAAAGGTCTGTGTCCATTGATTTTTGAGGAAGACTCCTTTTATCTGGATTAGCTGTTAAACCTCCTTTTTTAGAGGCCAATAAATTAAAATACAATTGACTTTCCCTGCGCAAGCATGCTTCTAAAAGAAGATAGCCCTTTCCTTTAAAGTACTCTCAAACCATTTCAGCTATCAAATGTGGACACTTAGTGACAGGGCATCACAGAATAACATTTGAGAGGCACTTGCTCCTCTTCTCCTGGTAACTCTCCATACAGTCACATCCTTTGGGGGATTAGGCAATCTAAGCTCTTTCAGCACAGTGAGAAGCCCTGCTGGATGGACATGCCCCCAGTGCACAGTCTCACTCTGAGAGTGGCCCTCATGGCAGCTGGCTCTGCTTTCTAAGGTGGCAAAAACACCACGGGATTGGTTCCTACTTGTGACCAGTGAAAAACACAAGTGTT